AAGCACCTTTCGGTCCATCAGCGGCTTCGCTCTGTCATCCCTGATTCGCAACAACCAACCTCTCCTATAGGTTTCCTATTTTTGAAACTTCCGCCACCGCCTTGTGCGGTACTACTGGTATGTATATATATATATATGTGGATTATACTATTCAATATATCGTTGGGGATTATCAAAATCCATTATAAATATATATAGGGGATATTCATTTGTTTTTTTGAGTTCACGCTGGATTGGTTGACATAGCGAGTGACATAGCTGACTTGTCTATTGGGGGGCATGATTTTCCAAGTTTTTATTCCTATACCTATTGATCAACCAGTACAACCGGATGGAAACAGTTAGGTATGAACTTCATGGTTTACTTAGATTTACTGTATAGTCAATAATTCAACCACAGATCGAGATTTGGAGTGAACATTGACACCATGCACATCCGTTTTACAACCTCGGCGACCTCAGGTACTCAGTGGCCCCTGGTGTTGCTGCTGCTGCAACAGATGAAAGAAGAACACTTGGAAGGTGCGGGAAAAGCAACGGGTTTCCATCACCTTCCTGCGGTTGCCCCTTTTTGGGGTCACGATGGTCACGGGTCAAGTGGAAGCCATGGTCGATTCGTCGATGATCAATCCCATCCCAAAAAGCAAGATATGGTGACTTTCCAGTGAAGTAAAGTGTTAGATTGCCAGTAAACTTACTTCAGTAAGCCAACTGGGGTTGAAAAGGTAGATGTAAACATAATTGTTGGTGGTTTGGAACATTTTTTTTATTTTCCACAATATATGGGATAATCCTTCCCATTGACTTTCATATTTTTCAGAGGGGTAGGTATACCACCAACCAGATAATGTAAACGATGTAGTTGGGTGAGCATAAATCAACTTAGACATAAGTAGGGAACACCACGTTGAACCCGCGATCGCGGGTCAGTTGATTGTGAACTTGAACAAGCAGGATTAAGAATTTGAGAAAATTCAGTTGGGATTGCTTTTTGACACGCTGAGCAAATTGTGACATAGGTAGATGGACACGCTAAATAACTGCATTACATGTTTTGCAAATGTGTTTTTGAGCCAACAACACATGGTACAGACAAAGACGTGGAAATCAGCCGACAAAATGGTGAGTCAGGGATTTATGGTGATTCAACATCGGTACTTGGGGATTGCTCCTCCAAAAATCCATACACTCCTGGTGTTATGCTTCCTTTTTGCGAATTTCAAAGGAGGCTTTTGTTGAGATCCAACTGGAATGTCTTTTTTCCAACCAAAGGGCTCTGGTAGGGAATGCACATTCATTTCATACGTCCATCTGAACGATTTACCATTTTGGGTCTGGATCAGAATCTCTGATTTTGCAAACGGGAGGATGACCATCCACAATAAGCGGTTACTGGTAAAATTCAGGTTTGCATCAAAACCACTCAAAACCCATATTGGGTAACAATATATGTTGCCAATCAAACCAGTTGGTACAACCCTATACAACTCTCAACCGACAGGGTGTTGGGCATTGCTCACATTCACAGGACCTAGCGTAGGTTTTCTTGTCACAGGAATGATATATGATTATACAGTATAGATTCCAGAAGTTAAAGGTGTAAGTATTGGGTTACAGGAAAATATCCAGGACACATGTCATTTTCAGAGGGTCGCTGTTTCCAAACTATCTCAGTTTTTTGCATCTCTTGTTTTCTATGACTTGTTTTGATACTGGCGATTTGAAGTCACTGGTCATTCAAAACCACCCTGATTAACAAGCAGTAATCATAGAAAAATTGGCCTCGTCATGGTTATGTAACAAGCCCTTCAGAAGGGTTGGTGGTGGACAGATTTCTGCCCTCATTCTGCTGCACCGATGCTCCACGGTCAGGCAATGTGATGACGTACAACAGCTGCATCTCCTCGTTGTCCAAAGGATCCGAATGGACAGCGGCCCTGAGGCCGCTTTTAGCGAGCTGGTACCAGTTCGAATTTCTGGAACATGTGCAATATTATCACCATATACTTAATATGATGAATATTATGATCATTCATGATCATTCATGACCATTCATGATCATTCTATCACATTCTATCTATGATCATTAATTACAATTTTAATAGTTGCTCCCCAGCATTTTTGGAGGGTCCCCCAAGCTCCTATTGGCAGTGTTATGTGAAGGGGATGGGATGGTATTTCTATTTGCCATCGTAACAGATCTTCGCTGATGATCCCCCAGACATGTTGAGACCACCAAACGGCCAGGGCTTTGCACAGATTGGTCAGACTTAAGGGAGTCTACTTGCTAGACAAGACCTCTAAAAGGGTCAAGTTTTTGCTGAGAAGGTCTGCGATCATATTCCATTTGATGTGAGTTGTGGGTATACGGTATGTCACAACAAGTTTGGCTTTGTCCAGGCTCACCAGCCGTTTTTTTTCAGACGCCTTCAGGGTCAGTATCCGATCCTACCTGGGGTCCCACATTTCCCAACTTATGGGGGTGACATCACCATGGTTTTTTATTCCCATACAAATCACCCCAACTGCACTGCCGAGTAGCCTTTAGTACTTTTTGTGGTCAGGATGTCTCCGAAACTCGGGCTGTCAGTGTTTTTTTGGGTGATCTCCGTAGTTGCCATGCTGCGATATCTCATAGACATACAGTATACTTCTGGGTAAATTATAACGACCTCACTGTTCGAGCTCACTGGAATCATGGTTAGGATTCGGGAAATCATCCCCAAATGGCCGCACTATTCAGGTTAGTGAAATATTATAATTTACCCAGATACTTATAATATCTTATAACCAATCAAAAACCAGATGAGTGGGGCAAATCTTAGTTGTTTGCTTCACACCCCCCTCACCTTTCATTTTTTTCTTGGGAAAGTGATCACCATCATTACTATTACATACTGTGGATGGAAGAAATCCTGCACCACCTTGGATGGTTGAAACATGTTGAAACCCTATAAATAGTGGCATAAACTACCTATCAACTGGTGGACTTCTTCCACCCATTGTATCACCATCACCAGGCTCTTTGACCGCCTACTCTCCAGTTGCGGCTGCACGGTGACCTCCTATGGCTCTGCCATTGGCGGCCCATGGCCGCAGGCCATGCTGCTGATGAAGTCTATGGGATCCAAACAGGCCGCAGCACTGGCCGCAGCACTGGGATGTTCGATGTTTGGATGATTTTGGATGATGTTCGATGATTTTTGAGGATGTTCGATGTTTTTTTTTGTGATTTTCGATTGAGGGTGTTTGATGATTGTTTGATGATTTTCGATGATTTGTTGATAATTATCTGATTTTTGTTGAGATGCAAGCAAGGAGTTTTCGAGGATGAACTTTTGGGGCCAAAAAATCCGGCCATATACATATAAGATGAATAGATATGAATATTCAAAAATTGAATTGGGAAATCATTAAATCCAATCTTTGTTTACGCTTCTCGTATGGAAATGCGCAGGTTTTCTGGGTCAATTCGGTAAACGTCCATGGGACGATGACGGGTGGATGAACATCCAGAACAACAACCGGGTACCATGGATCCAGGAGACCACCTGGAGAGTTTGAACGTTTGAACCCCGGTTGTGGTTGACTGGTTGGTGGTGACTGGAACTGGAACCATGGAATTTTATGACTTTCCAGAAACAGTTGGGAATGGAGTCATCATCCCAACTGACGAAGTCATATTTTTCAAAGGGGTAGGTCAACCACCAACCACTTGATCATTTTTTGTGGTTGAAACCACTGGTTTCGCGAGGTTGATCTAATGATCTACGAATCATCCAAGAATCTCGATCTCAACATATCTCACGCCTCCACGTCAGCCCACAGAGGCCACCAACAAACATAATATGTATATATATATATACATATACACATAACATGTATATATATATACACATAATATGTATATATATATTATGTATATATGTGTATATATCATAATTCATAAAATTCGACTGTCCAGAAGTCTCCATCTCAACCACTTCCAGCTTTTTTTCCAAACGTCCCGCGAGGTGCGTAGCAACTTGGTGATCTACAACAGCTGCGTCAGCTGCGTGGACGCGGCCTGGAATTGGGCCTTACAGCTGCTGGAGGATATGGAGGCGAAGATGCGGCGATTGAATGTGTTTTTTTATGGGAGAAAACAATGGTGATTAATGGTGATTAATGGTGATTTGATGGTGTTTAATGGTGATTTACCCTCTGGTGAACAAACATAGCTATGGAAGCCATGGCCCATAGAAAAAGATGGTTTACCTATTAAAAATAGTTATTTTCTATAGCTATGTTATATTACCAGAGGGTACATGGAAAAGGATGATGTTCCATCCTAAGGAGTTTTAACATTTCAATATTGGATGGCGCAAAAAATCTGGTTTTGTCGTTTCAAACGAATGGGTCTCAATTCAGAATCATCTGGAACATCATTTGCATAGCGGATAGAGATTTTTTTTTGGGGGGATGAGAAAGAACAAGAACATTTTCTGATTTTTGTTGGATGGGAAATCATCCCATGGGTTAAGAAGAACATCACCTATGATTTTGGATATTCCATGCGGTTTCCATGGCCAGAGATATCCACAGAGTATCAGGAGCAGAGGGGAGCAGGTTTTGCTATTGTACGAGTTGCATTCCATTATTCAAACAAATGACACAAAAACTGCCGGAAACCTATGGGTTGGAAAATTGCGAGGTGGTTTTGTCTGAAAATAGTGTATCCTCTAGACCCAATTGTTGATCATCATTTTCCCAACATACACATTGCCATTGTCTGGGGTGTACCCCATTTTTGGATAAAGCCAAATATCATATTGTTGGTTTATCTCCTACGATATTCCCATCAAATATCACCATGAAATACCATATCCCCTACACATTTATTGGAATTCAATCCCATTGGACCAACGAACCCATATCTGGTATCACTCCCATTGCTTTCCATTGCTTTGGGCGGGGTTTGAATCCCAGATTGTACAGGAAGGGGCCCCCTAGCTATCAGTTGGTTTATAACTTTATAACCCCATCCAACTCTAGTTATATCTGCTCTATAAACCCTACTTCATCAAGTTAGAAGTCAACTTAGCTAAGTATGGGGCATTATGACATTATGGGGCTATACCCATCTTATACCCATCTTCTACCCATTTTTTCGTGGTGAAATTCCCCATTTTTTTTGGATCCCCCAGGTGTCCAATTTTCGCCGGAGCAGCGCCACGATCGGCGCCGTCCTCCAAGCCTTGAAGATGGTGCCAGGCGCAGCCAGCATGGCGACGGTGTCCATTGGTTTTTCGCCTTGAAGCATCGCAATCATATCATATCACATATATATATACAGGATGAGGATGAGGATGATGACGGATCCATTTTGATATATATATATATATGTATACTCCATTTTGATAGTGGATGGCGCTAATGATTGAAATTCGCCATCTATAGATCACCTGAACGAAGGGGATATTTGCGCCATCTATAGGTTCCCAACACATTGGGTTAACATATAAATATATATACATACACATACAGCATGAGGATGAGGATGACCATGATAACGACGATGCTGATGATAACGACCTTGGCGACGATGATGAGGATGATGATGATGATGATTATGATGATGATGATGATTATGATGATGATAATAAACAAGATGATGATGATGACGATGACGACGGCGATGATGACGATGACGATGACCATGCCGACGACGACGACGACGACGACGACGACGACGCTGGCGCCGATGATGAGGATGAGGATGATGATGATGATGACGATGACGATGACGATGACGACGATGACGATTTGGATGAGGTTGAGGATGATGATGATGATAATAATGATGATTATGATGACGATGACGACGACGACGACGGCGGCGACGACGACGACGATGATGATGATGAGGATGATGACTCTGATTATGATTATGATTATGTTGATGTTTATTATGATGACTATGATTATGATTATGTTGATCATGATTCATGATTCATGATGTATTTGCTATGTTTCATAACATGTTCCCCTTTCAATCCATCCTTGACAGGCCAGTGGCCTGCAGCCTTGGAATTGATGCCAGGCGGATTGTTGGCAACCAGCCAGGTGGATGCCGAACATACCCAGTAAAAAACATAATATGAATCATAGGAATTGGAATAACCATTGTATTAACCATAATATTGACATATATTGACCATAGTATCAACCATAGTATCATAGTCCCAACCATAATATTAACCACAGTATTACTGTAACCATAGCATGGACCATGAACCATAGTATGAACCATAGTATGTTATACAACCCTGGTATTAACCATGGTACGAACATCTTGTATTATGATGGGAAAAACACCATGGTGATGTCACCCGAATAGTTTTTTTTTTTGCCGTTTTTTCAGCATCGACCCTGGGTCGGGGTTGCTATATTGGGAAGGTCATGGGAATATGTTATAAATTTAGAATCAGAAATACCAAGAATATCCAAAATAACATGATCGTTGGCTCTGAATTGGATGGGAATATCGTGGGGATTATATCATTGCGGATGTCACCAGCAGTATGATGACTTCATATGATTTCTGTGTGTGTGCGCGTGTGTTCAGAAATGGATAGAAATGGGATTTACATGGAGGAACAAATGGGAAGAACATCGACCAACATCGACCAACAATATGACATCAGGATTGTTCTGAAAAATTGGGTGACCCCCTCTAAATGGCCATTTGATAGGAAACATGATCATTCCATAAACACTTTATTTTCTGTTGGGCTACTTCATTCTCAGACAGACCCCAGTTTTTTGATTCAACATGTCTACGTTTTGAAGAAGGGACATCACCATAAACAGATAGTTCCCCAGCTAGCCGGAAACGGAGTGCACCATCTTGCCGGAAACGGGAACCCGCAGGTGGGCGATGTGGATTTGGGTACTGAAAAAAACATGCCATCCTTCGGGTAAGAACATGTTGCCATATGTAATAACTGGATGGTATAGTTTTATTTGTGGTTCATGGCATATTGAAACGTAATATCCAATGATCAGAACATGTTTTATATTTGTATCATTACGTGTTACCATGCATATTCTGATCACTGGCAGAATCAGTGGCATTGCTGCGGATATGACATCTGATGATTCCGATTCTTGGGCTTTACCTAGAGCCTTGACGCTACTTTTGGTAAAATTCACCGTCAGCTGTAGAATATCTCGATGGTCCCCTTGGGATATGAACTTATGCAACCTGCAAATGGTCAGACATTCGAATTGGTCATGGAGTCAAATTTTTGGTATTCACATGGGGGCCCCAGTTTTTTTCTCAATCCCCAAGCATGCAGATGTTTCCCCGCTTGAAATGTTTCACTGTCCTGATTCTGGATCTGCTTCATAGGTAGATCTCTTCAAAACACCATCATCTACAACTCGGCTATCACCGTGTGCGCACAAGGCACTGGCGCAAGATTTGGGCATGTGATGGCATGTGTCAAAATTATATCGGGAACAACTTATTTTGGCCATCCATTATCTATTCTAACTTTTTGGTTGCCCACTTTTGGCTTTGTATTCGTATCACTTATCCAAAATTTGGCTTCGGGTGATCATTAAAAACGCTTGAGGGTAAAGGCTACGGCTACTGTATGGCCAGCAATTCGGGATCCGGTAGCCCCTGGCAATCAAACATGGGAATTGCTTTTTGCTCCCACAAATGGGTATTTAAATTGGACAATCATCAATGGGGGATTAAATAATTTTCAACATCAACGGCCAATAATGAGACTTATGAGACTTTCCAGTGCCATGTTTACCGGAGTCCGATTTTGACCAATAGCATTCCATAGCCATCTGGTATCTTTACCTACACTCTATATCTGCATTCATGATTTGTTTATGTCCGAATCTTGATATATTTCTGGTACACTCATGCGACTTACATGGGGTTGACGGAACATAGCCGGATATCCAACGCATTTTCTGGCCAAAGCCATATCGAATTTAATTTGTTTGTTTATTTTATGTACCCTCTGGTAAACGTTTACATAGCTATGGAAAATCATCATTTTCAACTGGTAAATCCACTATAAATGGCAATTTTCAATTGCAAACTGTTAAATTACCAGAGAGTATCCGACTCATATCCTATTTGGTCTCCCCATTTTGCTCCGTTCCGGTCAAATTCGCAGGTCATGAGTTTTCTGTGGCATGGAAACTCTTCGAAGAAATGCAAGGACCGGTGGCTTCGCTGCCGCGGTTGGGGAAGAGCTGGGCGATGTATGTTGCGACCGAACCTTCTGTTGAAAAATGGAATGATGGGAATTGGATTTGAGGCAACTATCCTCAAATAGCCGAAGTTTTCATGTGACACTGAAAGCTATCCAGATGGTCCAGGATGGATTTTCCTGTTTATTTGTAGCATGAAGTGGTCTTTGATGGTCTTTTCATGTCTTTTAATTTTAATGTATGAATATGTGATGTTCCAACTTGAGGATGACTTCCGTTTGCAGCCGAGGTTGCCCATGGTTGTTTCGAAAATCGTTGAGTGTCCCAAACTGCTGACATACTGCAGTGGTTAGGCTTGAGATCACCCCATGAAGTACCTGATCCTCCAGGTGATTCTCCAAACAGATATAATTGTTATAGTTATAGACATAGACATATTTTAATGCCACAATATAATATATAATCATATATATATATAATCATATATATATATAATCATATATATATAATCATATATATATAATCATATATATATATATAATCATATATATATATAATCATATATATATAATCATATATATATAATCATATATATATATAATCATATATATATATAATCATATATATATAATCATATATATATATAATCATATATATATAATCATATATATATATAATCATATATAATCATATATAATCATATATATATAATCATATATAATCATATATAATCATATATATATAATCATATATAATCATATACATATATATATATACACTGATACAATATATATATATCATATAATGATATATACAGTTCGCGCATTTTATGCTTATATCGTACAGCTATATATGAGATGTATGAATATATCCTTTGTACACAACATACTGGGGACTTGGGCTACCCTCGAGGCCTCTCCCTGCGGTGCGACGCCATCACCTTCACTGGGGCAACTTGGCAAGTTCACAGGTGGATAGAGCTGATGCAAGTCCACAGGTGATTAATGGTGATTAATGGTGATTAATGATGGTTAATGATGGTGACTAATGGTGATTAATGATGATTTCACTTACCCTCTGGTAAACGTTTGCATAGCTAACTGGAAGAGCACAATATTTGAAATGGTAAATCAACCATCAATTGGCCATGTTCAATAGCGAACTGTGAAATTACCAGAGGGTAAATATCAGATGCAACGTAACCTAATGGAACATAATGGAACGTAATGCTAGGTAACGTAAAGTAACGCAACTTCACGTATGAATATCATAGGCTTAGACAATACATCGTGGATCTTTGGGGGGATGAGCTTCCGACCCAAGATACCATTGCTGTCGGATACCCTTCGATCATTTTTTCGATGATTTACCCTTAAACATGGTGAGTTTCCATCGTTTTTTCTATGTTTACCATGGGTTCCATGGGCTCCATGGGTTCAGGTCATGGTTGGCGCCCACTGGTCCTCTGCCGTGCAGCTGCTGGAGCGGGGTCGCAGTGCGAAAGCATGCGATCTGAAGATGTGGAGTGCTTTCGGGGGAACGGTACAGCGTGGTAACCCATTTCGGTAACCACCTTGATGAAAGATGACCATGAGATAATCCCATCCCGTTTTTTTAATTTTTGATTCGCCCCAAAAATCGGTCCCAAATATGTGAAAATCATGAAAAATCACCCTACTTAAGCATGCTTTCTGGAATCAATATTGTGCTGGATTTTGAACGTATAGATCATTATTTTCCTTGTACTGTATATTTCATATATTTCTTTTGGATAATGATTTAGAGAAGGATTTAGCCAACTATTTTTTTGGAGCAATTCAAGGAGGGGGGAATGGAATTGTCACCGACCGAAGTGAAGCATCGGGATTCACCTTAACCAAGACATGTGGGTGGATGTTTAAGCAAAGATACTCTTGATCTCTTGATCTACCCCCTCCCACACACACGCACGCAAATGGGCATGTTAACAACACAAATGGAGTTTATGTAAGAAGCAAACCTTCAAGGTTTTTTTAAACTTGAAATGGGGGTTCAACGGAATCTAGGATTTCCATTACCAGCAAACATGTGGATCTTGAGAAAAAATGAAGATGTTACTGTTACATGTACCTATGTTAACCAAGAAGAAAGGCATTTAATAAAACAAAGCTTGGGGCGGCAGCTAAGATAGGCACGGGTTTGACACGAAAAACCTTTGATGGGTGGTGGTTGCGTTGAAATCCCAGGTGTTTTACACTGAATTTGATGAAGGAAAGACTTGTAAAGGTCATGGTTTCGTTTTTCTACTCGTCTCAAACCAAGTCAATGTTAAAAAACACAAGTGTTCAAACATGTTCAAACCCAACTGGTTTTTCATATCCCATTAGTTGGGATACCCAACTGGGATACTATTACTACATTTTTTTCTACGGTTCAGTACTGAATAGTATCCCTGACCAGGTGGTTTCAACTCACCAGCAGGTGCGGTGCTAAGTGCCTGCGAAGCGATGTCTCACTGGAGCCAAGCGCTACATGCCTTGCAGATGGCAGATCGAGGCAAGGCTCGATCTGGGGGCCAAGAGGCCAAGAGATTGATGAAACCTACCCTCTGGTAAACTAACATAACTATGGAAAATCACCATGTTTAATGGGAAAACTCACTATAAATGGCCATTTTCAATAGCTATGTTAAATTACCAGAGGGTATGGGAAATGAAGCTCCGTAAGTGAAACCTATTAATGAAATCTGAATAAATCTGATGAGATCTGCATGTGGGATGGGTCAAGATGGGTCAACACCTATTCTTTACGATATATAAAGGGATGAACCTCCACAATTTTTTTAAAGCCATTTTCACATTTTTGGGACCCCAAAATGAATACATCATCTAATAGTAAACACTCGTTTCTAGAGGATATTTCATATTTTGGTGTTGGGATAAAAACACATGGGGGAGAAACCAACTGAAATGGTGTTGAAATGTTATATTAATAACCAAAACGAGTCAACAACCCAATTTTGGCACTTCCCACACCTGGTACAGTAGGTGTTGTACATGATGTTGCCATGTTTGGTAGAGCGCCTGCAGTTGATCTTAGTCAATGTTGAACCCAGTGGCATTGATCAACAACCCAAAGAAGTGGAATCATAAGAGTATAAATGATTTTGATAAGAATCTTATACCCCTGAGTTGTTTATTCGGGGTGCATCTAGCCATCAAACATACCGAGGGTTTTGTATGGCCAATCATCCTGAAATGAGGATGCAAAAAGCCAACATGATACTTGATGTTCCCGATCGGGTCCCATTATAAATACATCCAAGACCTTCACCCGATCGGGTTCTTCTGGGTAGAAATTTGCCAAGTAACTGGTGACGACGCGAGGGAGCACCCATTCCACGAATGAAAAATCACCAGGGAGAGGACCTGGGTAAACCGTGGTGAAGAAGGCTGGTAGCCATAGCAACGAGCAACAATAGAAGAGTTATGGTCCAATACTTGAACTACTTCTGTTAACCGCTCACAAAGTTCACTCGCATTGCCACCGACTTGTGTTCCAACACAAGGAAGTCCCAGTAAATGTCGGATAACCATACACTTGCATCAATACATTCCACTATACATACCAAATTTTGCATACAAATAGCTATTTTTGACGTGACAGTATCTCGAACAACATCCCTGGGTCATCGTTCCCAGCTTGACACCGGCATGCCAGGGGGCTTCCAATGTGATGACACTGCCTACAGCATCGTGATTAGCGCGTGCAAACGTGCGGTGATGGGCAATCTTACTTGACCTGTGAGTTTTTTAGCCCAGTTCCTGTAGTTCTTCAGAGCGGTTTGAAACCACCAAGCTGTACCCACCGGTTGTGAGTTACTTTGGTGGCCGTGAATTTGCATGAATTTGGCAGTGGGCATTCGCTCTTGTGGACCCTTGTGGACCTCAAAACAAATGGCAATGAGAAATTTGCAGATTTATATAAGTCCAGGAGGCGGATGAGATAGACCATGATAGAAAACTGTCATTCCGCTGAAGTGGCATGATCTCAATTCCATGCAATTTTTAATGACTACCAGATCAGCAAAGAACAGTATGACTCCAGAAAATTCCGCCATCATGGATATATTCTAGCGAAAGTTAGATGTTCCTTTGCAGCTGGTTGTTTTTTGGGTACCTTAGCTGAATTTAGCTGTCCACTGAGAGACCTATGTCAGCAGTGAATGCAGGCAGCGACCAATCGTCGAAGTGAAAGAAAAGTTGCAAGTCCGGAAAAAGGATGACCGGCTGACCTGGTTTATTCCCTACAGTTGAGGCCCTCCACCAGCTATGAGTCAGTTATAACATGTTATAACCCCATCCATGGAATGTGGTGTATACTCTCATTTATATAACCATTTATAGTTTGTAAAGGGCTTCATCTGTACCATTTAAGTGCAAAGGACGCTGGTTTCTCAAACTATGCGTAACATTGATGCTAAATCACTGGATGTTTTAAGGGTAATTAGCCTATGTTTGGTCAAAGTCATTTAAGGATCCATTTCGTCCAAGCACCGAAAGGGGGAACAGGACAGCCCTATATTTCATGGTAAAAACCATGGGTTTCCGGTTAAAATTTTCCCAACAAAACCAATCCAGTGAATCTAAGGATGGTAATTTTATCACTGTTGTTACCCTCCAAGCTATGTCTGATGATTTCATAATCGCCCAAAGAGGCCCTTGAAGGTGCAGGCAGTTTTTTGGGTGAGAACCTGGGACAGGCTGGTTTTCAGGAAAACCACCATATCACAAGTTGGGAGATTAGGGGCCCGTACAACTATGCTTATAATATACAACTATGGTTGTAATATACAACTATGGTTGTAATTAATAGCGTAATCATGTGGTTAAAACTGGCTGCCATTTGCACCATCCCCCAGTCATCACCATTTTTATAGGTGGTATGGTTACCATTCCCAAATGGGTAGTTTATGGCATTGTTTTTAACCACATTAATCCCAATTTAAAAGTTCATAGTTGGTTATAACCCACTAAAATTTCATTTAAATCCCATTTAAATGCCATTAAACCACCATTTTCCCATTGTTTTAACCACATTATACAAGTAACGTGCCGTGTTACACGTGCCGTGTTCCCCTCTGAGACTTCACCGCTGCAGGTCCCAGTCCAGTGCAGGTTTGCCCGGCAATCAGCGTGGTTGGAGGCCCTTTGAGTGGCCTCTCGGCCGAATTATGGTTTCTGGGGGATTAAAACATATTAAAACATATTACAACCATCATTCAGAGAGGGGTTGAAAAAACATGTTTAAAAAGATGGTTTAAGAGATGTTTTACAAGATGTTGAAAAAAGATGTTTAAAAAGAGGTTTGAAGTTGTTTTAAGACGTTTTTCCATGTTTTAAGATATTAGCGCCAAATCCTATGTTCGCCCACTCCACTATTTGAGCTCCTATGATATGATGCATCAACATGTTTCATTTCACATGTTGCATGACAATGAATCTACCACCCCTGAACTTCACATTGGTATTCTAATGGTATGAGAATTGCTCATCATAATCTGGCCGCCCCCTCTGAACTTCAGGTTGATGATCTAATGATGTGCGGAGTGATAATCAGAACATGGGTAAAGCTGCAATTGGACCGCGCAAGCGTAGGGTTTGCAGCAATGAACATGTTTTAACATGTTTTAACAATCAAGAAAAGGTATAACAAATTCATTGATGAATTATATGGTTGGTTGATGATTGTTTCGGGGGTTATGCTCTGTGTATCTCTGTATACTGTCCAATACATTGTGGGTTATCATCATCCATTATTGGAATCTCTATGAACCAACCAGTACAACAACATGACTGGGGGCAACAGAAAGTTGCTCGCGACTGGTCAAAGAGAAGTGTGGTTAAGGCCACCCAAAAGGCAATATTCGGATGGTTATGTATGGGGGGGGTTCCTAAATCATTGTAGATTCCAAGCTCTCATCCAAGTTACCGTATTTCTCATTAAGGGGAAAGCGATGGTGGGGGTTTCCCATCCTTGGAACCCCTCATATTCATATTGATGAAGCATGGCAAATCAGTTTCAAAACAGAATCAACTAATCAACTCTTTGAAAGGTCGTGTTTTTTGACGGCCCTGCAATCGAGGAAAGACGTCCCTGGCGAAAGAACTTGCGCAGAGGACTATGCCTGGGTCATCCTCAGGTGTTTGGGAACCAAACATCACTTGGGGGTTTCCATAAATGGGGGTATCCAAAAATGGTTGGTTTATAATAATGGAAAATCCCATTAACATGGATGATTTGGGGGTACCCCTATTTCAGGAAACCACCATATCTATTCATTATTACCATCTGCTAATCAAACATGGCTTGCTGGAAAATCCACCATGGCTAGTTCGATGATTTCCCGACAAACCGAAGCTTCATTTACAGGGAGGTTCTCCAGCCATGTTTGAGTAGTAATCCGGGTAATCCTTCCAGCCAGTTTTTTACATGGCCAATTGGGAAACTAGCTATAAAATATTATAAAAACATATATATATATATTAGATATTATGATTGGGAAACTAGCTTAAAATCATAAGACTTAATATCATGTGATATGGTTGAGTAACTTTAGGATTGGACATGGTGGTATTTTGGGGCCCATCATGGCCCATCATCTTGGGGCCTGTTGCATCAGTTGTGGGATGAGATTTTCTGCATGATTGTACCTCAGTTGGATGGGAAAAACCTAGGAATAACATGCTCCCTACCCAAAGCTGGCAAGCCAAAAAAAATGGCAGGGAACTGCAGCAGCCTCTGACTCAAACAATTTTCGCTGGTGAGCAGTTGGCGGTTTCAAACGCCTACGGCTGAAAAAAAAACAACCGTTAAGGTTTACATAAATTGCAATTGTGATACAGTTTGAATTCATTTTAGCACATATATTTATGACGTTTACCTATATATGTATGTGCAGTAGCATGCATGGCTTCAGCTTTTCCAAGCACACCCGCAGCATGACGCATTGGCCCAATTCTGGCGCCCCAATTCTGGCGCCAAGAAAGCCACTGCAAAGTTTCTCCATCCCACATGTTCATTTCTAGTTTCAAAGGTTCCCGCCCGCACTCCCACACACAGAGTTATATATATTTAATTTATACACACAGTATTATATGTACGCAAATATTTTTAAAGTCTGTACGCAGTATATTAGTGTATTTGTATATATATACACGACATGCTTTCGACATAAATGTGTTCTATACATATATATATATGTAAAGTACTATATATTCTCCATAGTTTTAGTCGAAGTAGATACAAATCAACATATATATATATATATGTATATGTATATTTGATTATTTATTTATTTGTACCAGTAGTACCGCACAAGGCGGTGGCGGAAGTTTCAGAATAGGAAACCTATAGGAGAGCTTGGTTGTTGTGAATCCAGGATGGCAGAGCGAATCCACTGATTGACCGAAAGGTGGTTGGAGTTGTGTTTGCTGGAGTGGTTGCAATGGTTGCAGTGGTCACCTCACCCACAACTGCTGGATGTACTGTGATGTACTGCAACTGTAGTTGTAGTTGTAGCGTAGTGGAGTTGTAGTTGTGGTGTAATGTAATTAGTGTAGTGTAGTTGCAGTCATATAGTTGTAGTTGTAGTTGTTTTGTAGTTGTAGTTGTTGTGTAGTTGTAGTTGTAGTTGTTGTAGTTGTAGTTGTAGTAGTTGTTGTTGTAGTTGTAGTTGTAGTTGTTGTAGTTGTAGCTGTAGTTGTTGTGTAGTTGTAGTTGTTGTGGAATGTAGTTGTAGTTGTTGTAGTTGTAGTTGTAGTAGTAGTAGTAGTTGTTGTTGGTTGTTGCTGTTGTTGAGTTGCAGTTGTAGTAGTAGTTGTTGTTGTAGGCTTGGTTTAAGTTGTTTTTTAAATTCTAGTTGGTAGTTGTGTATAGTGTAGTTGTAGTTGTAGTTGTAGTGTAGTTGTAGTTGTTGCTGTTGTTGTGTTGCTGTTTGTCGTCGAGTTAGGGCTAGTTAAGTTAGTGAAGTTAGCATAAGTTTAGTCAAGTCGTTAAGTTTAGTCAAGTTAGTAAGTTAATCAGGTCTACTTTTTCCGACATTCTTACGGTCAAAAAAGGTCCAAACCACCAGTTTTTAACACTTTTTGACTCGAATGTGCTTCGCGACCACAACGGGCGCGGGGGGCGGGGGGGGGGGGGGCTGCACTTTTTCAACATCTCAACTTCCAAACGTGGTCCGAGACCGCCAGTTTTTAGCACTTTTGACTTCAGAATGTGCTTCGCGCCACAACGGCATGCACTTTTTCAACATCTGGACTTCCAAAAGTGGTCCGAACCCTAGTATTTTGTACATTTTGCCTTCGAAATGTGCTTCCCGCCACAACGGCGTGCACTTTTTCGACATCTCAACTTCCAAAAGTGGTCCGAGACCGCCAGTTTTTAACACTTTTGACTTCGAAATGTGCTTCGCGCCACAACGGCGTGCAATTTTTCATCTCTGATCTGGCCAGCTGGCTCCGCACCCGCCGCTTTAGCGAGCCTACTTTTCGACCCTCCGGAGCCACAAATCATTGGAAAAACACAGTGTTTCGCGACGTTCCTACCTTTTCGCGCACCTGCATCTTCTTTCTTCTGATCTTTTCTCTTCTGACTCTTCTCACCTCTGCTTTTCAACTGTCCATATTGTCGGAAGTTTCACTTCTAAACTTCCTTCGATCATATACTGTATGGTTTCTCCATGAAAAATACAATATCCAACAAAACTTTGTTTAAATACTCTAAATAGTATTAAATAAGCACTATGATAAATAGATACTATTGTAACTTCTGCAGAATATCAACATTTATAGGATGTCCGGATGTCCACTTCATACAAACATCATATACATCATCTAAGGGAATATCTCCACATGTTTTTTGTGTCCTTATATGATACTAACGTACCTCCATTTTAGGCTCCTGAAATTCCCATTGACTATATTATGAGATAAAACAATGCCATCTGCACCATCCCCCAGTCATTGCCATTTTTTAGGTGGTATAAACTTACCATTGCCAGTCATGGGTGGTTTATGACATTATCTTACCCACATTATAGTCAATGCTAACAGTTCGCTATTGACAATGGCCCAGTCGAAATAGTTGATTTACCCAGCCATAAAATGGTGACTTTCCAGTTTGTTATGTTAGTTTCCCAGAGGGTAAGTGAAATTATCATTAATCACCATTAGTCACCATCATTAACCACCATTAACCACCATTAATCACCCCAGGACTGGAGCTGTCTACATCTCCGTCCCAGAGGCCTTGAGCACGTTGATGTCCGAGGCTGTGCCGTGTCAACTCTCCAAGGAGCCGGGCGTGACACGTTTCATGCCAGGGACCTAAGGGAACCTTGGAATTTGACCATGACAAATGGGGGTCTAACGATCCAAGACCTATTGAACAACTGGTTGGTGGTTTGGAACATGTTTTTTTCCCATATATTGGGAATTTCATCATCCCAACTGACTCATATTTTTCAGAGGGGAAGGTCAACCACCAACCAGAAAACAACTAAAAGATCGGATTTCAGTGGGAGTGAGATCTTGGCCACTGGGATTTCATCATGAAAATCAGAAAACTTTCCATGGAATTTTGATGGGATTTTACCATCAATCATGGAGTTTTCAACATGTTTTAAGTATGAAACAGATGGGATATGAGCTTGATACCATTTACACATGCTTGTTTCATCAGGAATTAGTTGGGGTTGTACATATTACCCAATATATTGAGCATTGTCACAATCCATTATGGGAAATTTCCCCGATTAAAAAACAGATAGATGGGGTCAGGGTTTTCCACTCAATTTATTATTATTGCCAAACATGTGGGAAAAATGATATGAAACGGTCTTTACCTATCCTTGGGGGCGTTTATTGACATTGCCTTCCCCACTTTAAGATATTTTAAGTGGGATCGAACATGTAATTGTTGGATACGTTAACCCCTCAAGTTGTTATGCTTATTTTTTGAGCGATATTGTACCGTGTGATTTTGGGACACGGTGACGGGTGACGTGGTGGTTTTAAGAAACCCCCAAACAAGTTTAGGAGGGTAGAAGCAGCAGGTGGCAGATAAAGCAAAAAAAAACATGGAAGAACATCACGACTCAATCAGTTAGAATGAGGTAGATGAATGTGCCAAGGAAGGTCTTGCGGTTTATGAAATGGTATGAATTTCAACTCACCTGATAGCTGGGAATGTGGACGAATCGCAACGCGCCAAGCACCAGTCATACACAAATTTGAAATATTGATCTTAACATGTCTTGATATAGTTTTTCCCAGGTTTTATTGGCCATACCAAATAGTATATGACTATATATACTGTAACTCCCAGAATTGGTTTATGGGAAACCTTACAGGACATCCCTACAATCGGAGGGACCCGATTCGAACATGTTCCTGCACGAACTCATTGAATGATATAAATGATTCACGAGTTTAAACCACAAAATTCCCCGAAAGCACAAAGTGACCCACAGGACATCCGCGCAGCTTTGCAAAGCGGTCAACGAGTTCCAGATCCTTTGGCCCGACGCCCGGAGCCGGGTTGGTCTCGATCATGAATCGACCCCGGAAAATGGGTGGTTGATGCCTTTCACAATTCATCATGAGGTTTAGAATTTCATCATGGGATTGTTTTTTTTTTAAATAATTGCAGTCTAGCATTTAGAATATTTTATGGTTTATATAACTCCTTGTGCTCCCCTATGCTCCGTTCGAGAAGCGGGTAGTTTTTTGTGCACAGCAGCATGATGGAATCTTCCAACTGCTAATGTTCTCAGAAGATTCTAAGTGAGGGTGCTTATTCTTACTGCATGGCTTTTAAATCTGGATGATTCTATCTGCTGACGAGTGTTGGATTAAACACGATGTCAAGACATGCTAAGGGACCTCTGGTGGATCAACTCAATATCAAATAAATCATGTAATCAACAGCACCCAGAGGTTTCATTGACCAGAGGTTTAACATAGACATGTTACCGGGTTTATTGATTAGAGGTTTCTGGTTGGTGGTTTGGAGCATGAATTTTCTTTTTCTATATATTGGGAATTTCATCATCCCAACTGACTTTCATATTTTGTCAGAGGGGTAGGTATACCACCAACCAGATAACTATGAACTAAACCCATGATATGCATATATATATATGTATATATATATGTATGCACATAGATATAGATAGAGATATAGAGTGTAGAAACAGCTATCAGAAACTGATCACAAGTTCTGTATCTATAGTGTATCCACATCACCTTGTATCCAGATATCAGAAACTACATGTATGAACCCGGTCCCCGGACCCCCCTCCCCAATGGTATGGTCCCCACCCCCGAAACCTCACATTTGCACGCTATTTGCAGCATTTGGGCGGCACAGCCTCGCATTCGTACGTTGTTTTGCAGCATTTGAGAGTCACAACCTCGTCACTGGACCTGTTTGTTTCTATAGCGTACCTCACACATGACTTATTACTCATTGTATGAAGATTATTAAACTCAAAGCATACCTATGCATACCTATAGATACCAATATGATCCCATATCCTATGCTTGCATGCAGTATGTACCTACAAATAGGTGTATATATAATATATACATATACATATATGCTGTATATATACATCTATATATCATATATACATATATTTTTATATACACATATACATATATACACATACATTTATGTATATACACATCTGTATTTACATACATACATACATACATACATACATACATACATACATACATACATACATACATACATACATACATACATACATACATACATACATACATACATACATACATACATACTACATACATACATCATACATACATACATACATACATACATACATACATACATACATACATACATACATACATACATACATACATACATACATACATACATACATACATATACACACACACATATATATATATACATACATACATATATACATATATATATATATATACATACATACATACATGCATACACACATACACACATACACACATACACCTATACATATACATATACACATATACACATACACATACACACACCATATATATATACATACACACACCATATATATTATATACACATACATGTACTCCTTGCACTACCTACCCATGTTTCATAGCGTACCTGTATACGACTCATTGCATAGTGTGCCCATATAGTAAATACTGCCTATAGCGTACCTCACACATGGTTTGCCACTCATTGTATGTCTTTATGCTAAATATTTGCTACCTAGAGATTATATGCTACATATATATATATATACACGTATAACATATATATATATACACACACGTATATATTACATATACATATATTAATATATACTACCTAAATGTAAATGCCCAAAGAACATCATACACCTTTGTGTAGTATCACTGCTTCACTGCGGGACGGGCTGAGGTGATCCAGGCCATTCGTTTCCGTCTGTTGTCGCCGGATGCGCTGCGAAGCGGCTGGGTCTTGGACGACTTTCCCTGCACCAAAGCGCAGGCACGGGAGTTGTTGAGCAATAAGACCCTATGATGAACCACAAAAAATGATGGTTTAACCAAGAAAGACGGTGGTATACTGGGTATATGATGGCAAGTTAACCTCTGGTCATTTACAACCATCATTTTTAGTAAGTAAATATAGGTGAATCATCTATAAATTTAGACAATTTTCCATATCTATGTTGAATTATCGGGGAGTATAGAATTTGCATCAAGATAGACCCTGAAAACCAACAATTTCTGGTGGAAACAAACAACTTGTTGGAGCCTCTATTTGGCAGGTCGATGTTGATTTGGGGGACTGTAAATGATGGTAATTGTGAATGTACTTATATATGATCATTATTCTTATATGTGCGTCATATCTTGATGAGTGTTATTCATATTCCGTAGATTACACATAATTGGCAATATCATTATCTATAAATATTTATTCTCTGAAATGAAACGGACGGTATGTTTTGTTTTTGATGGTAGTTATATCTGATGTTTGGAATATTTTATCTTCATTGTTTGAGCTTGGAAGTTCGAAGTTGATAAACATATGCATGTTGATTAAACACCATAGTCCCATAATTCGTCCGCGACAGTCCCAAGTCGTTGCGTGGCTGGAATGTATATATATATATCCCTCCATTTGTTACGTATGTTCTCAAACAGGGTGACACAACCGTTAATTTGCACAGAAACATTTCCAACCTGAAAATCCCACTGCTTGCTAGGTATACTCAGAGTATACTCCCCATTTGCTGAAGCATTGTACATGGCCACTACGCACTTCATAGGGCTAGGTAGTGAAGATTCACATGCCTAGCCACTTCATAGGGTAGTGAAGATTCATAGCAGATCCGGGCTGGTGTAATTATATGTTGATATAGTCTGGTTGGTGGTTTCAAACATTCTTGGAATTTTCCATTTCATATGCTGGGGATGTCATCCTTCCCATTGACGATATCATATTTTTCAACATAGTTATTGCACCACCAACCAGTAGTTGATGCAGACAGCTTGCACATGGATGTGTCACCCCCAAAAGTGGGTTGATCAACGCTAGATTTTTGTTGGTCAAAAAGAAAAATTGGTAAAATTGAACCCATGAATCTTCTATTCATAATCCCATACGGTAATCCATTGATTATCCCAATATAAATGATCCAATCAATATCTCAATGGACTGGTTTAAGGGAAAAATTAGAGGAAACACCCATGATCTTCATGGGAAAATCTATGGTTTCCTGTAACCAAGTTATCCATTGAGCTATCTGAAAAATCTCCATCTATCCATTGATTATCCCAATATAAAACATATTAAAACTTAGTTAACCAAGTTACAGGCCGAGCCGGCTCCGATCCGATGTCCGATCCGATGTTTTTGAGGCCGAAGGGCTCACGGCTTTGGGTATCGTGCCGCATCGCGTCTTCATGCTCTTAGCACCCGAGGCACCGAGAAAATGGGGGGTTCTATGGGGATAAGGGGGTTCTATATTGGAAAAAACCCAGGGTTCTATGGAATATGGATGGATGAATGTCTACTTAAAATATCGTGATGCATTTTTTGAATATGTTGTGGGTTTATCATCAAGAGATGTTCATCAGTTTTATAAGCTGGTGAATATTTTGATGAATATCTTGATTTATATCCCATTGATATCCCATTAAGGCTCTATATATATATACTGGTTGGTGGTTTGGAACATGTTTTATTTTTCCCATCATATTGGGAATTTCATCATCCCAACTGACTTTCATACTTTTCAGAGGGGTAGGTCAACCACCAACCATACCCTCTGGTAAACTAACATAGCTATTGAAAATGGCCATTTATAGTGAGGTTTCCCATTAAAAATGGTCATTTTCAATAGCTATGTTAAATTACCAGAGGGTATATATACTATACTATACATTTCGATATATCCTGTTATCTCCCCATCAAGGTTGCTCCAACTCCTGGTGGGTTTTTTCAACCGATGCCCACAAACTTTTTTAGACACACGATGTAGATATACATGGCATATCAACAAATATCTACATGGTTCAATTTATATGTAGATCTACATTCATATTTAGATAATATATATATATATTATATATCAACAATGATAAGATTACGAAGTTTTTTGAGGACCTCTGCATCTTGTGCCACCGGCAGGCCGTGATTTACGCGCGCGCGGCTGAGTTGAAGAGTGCCGCCGTGGAAGGCGACGGGCTTCTCCCATCGTGGAAGATTCCCCGAAAAAACATGGATGATTTGGGGGTACCCCCATAGGAAAGCTCCATATTAGGATACAAACCAACAATATGGGGATAATATGGGGAGTTATATTTACCCTCTGGTTATGTCAAAATAGCTATTGAAAATGGCCATAGAAATAGTGGATTTACCCATTAATAGCATGGTGATTTCCCACAGTTTTTCGTATGTTTACCAGAGGGTAATTGGGATTTTTCATGGGAGATGAAGCCATTTTTCGACATGTCCCTGTCTGAAAATGGAGGGATTAAACGACAACAATTGGTATTTTTTGTTGGATTTTATATCATGGGTATGTTATGGGATATAACTGACACTTTTGACATGATCTGTTGATTTCTCTGAAAAATGGGGTACGTCAAAATTGATGGTTTATCGTTTTTTTTCCCTGTGAAAATGGTCAGGCATTGAGGGTATGCCCCATTTTCAGACAACCCAGAAAAGCAAAATCCATCTCGAAAATAGTGATGAACTACTTTCTGATTTTCTGCATTTTTCTTAGGGGCTACTATAGTCGATTTCAGGGTCATCGTCTCAACCAGATCTGTTTTTAGTGCCTGGCTTGTTCCAAAACCCGCCTGGCCATGGATATCTGGACATCTGAATGAAGCACCCAGCGTATTTTTGTCGAATAGTTCATAATCTCCATAGAATTCCGTCGTATGAACCCCCTTTTTTCAGCATCAACCAATCAACATAAGCAACATCAACAACGGTAGCATGCAGCATGCCCATTTTGTTTGGTTGATATCACCATTTATTGGCTGGAAATCTCATGTAAACCAACCAGTGGAAAAGCCCAGGCCCTAGCCCTATTCCATCATGTCGCCACAATTTTGTTGCTTATATACATGGTGTTTTATCCACCTCATTTTTTTTTGGGACATTCAGGTTCATGCATCAATCAGGTTGACATAGCAAAAGTGTTGGATGAGTTCCCATCTTAATTCTTGAACTTCATATCTTGGTCCCATTTTTCTGCCAGGATCCCATTATCTATGAGTAAAAAAGGGAGATCGCGATGGAACTTTCCTGATGCTCAAGAGATTTAAAGATCATAGCACTCCCGTTTTGGAAAAAACATGCTTAAACTTTAGATCCGTTTGTTTAATGCCTGACAACCCCATGGGATCTATAGTAATATCCCATGCATCCCATTCTATACCCATGATATACCCCAAACATGTTCGGTTTTGTTCCCCTATTTTGAGACATAGACACACACACACACAAAGATATATATATATATATACACATTTACCCATGAGAATACTTAGTATATTTGCCAGCATTTACCAGATGTTCCACAGTTAGCCCTGCAGAAACCATCATAGTATCATTGTTTTTCAAGAGTTATAGGGCCAAAATCCGGGTAGCCTTGTGAACACGTTGTCTAAAAATAAGGTACCTGCGCAGCACCCCAAGGTGGTGTCGTACCAGTTTCAAAAGGTAGTATATCCCATCATACCACCTTTTTGATGCTTAAGTCTACATCAGTACCCATGAATCCACATTAACCCATAGGTTTTGACCCGTCAACATTAATATCCCCTTTATTTTGCACATTGATATCCCCATCAATATCCCCATTAAATCCCATGATACAAACTACTGGTAGAATAGCCTTGTTGGTTAATTTGCAAATCTTCCATTTCCATCCACTACAGTTGTTTGATGGTAAACTATCCCATTCAGTCCCCCCCAAAATATAATCCTACTGTAGCCATCATCCATCCATCATTACACATCCATCAATGCCGTATTCCATATTGGCAGGGGATCCATATTGTTAATATAGATGGTCAAGAAACATCAATCCCATATTTCCATCAATTATTCCCATCAACTACAACCTTAACACATCCATCCATGTTACACATTTTATCTTCAGATATGGCGATAAATTCTTCATGACCTCGCAACGCAAAGGTGACTGGGATGATGCAAATTGTGTTGGGAGAACTATCCCCTTGCTTAAGGGCCGTAAGCGGCCTTCAGCTTTGTGAATTGTGATACATGACTTATCCATATTTATCCAGAAGAATTGAACATCATATCGCCAGGAAATATCCCCATAGTTTCTTGGTTAGATACCAGAAACATCCAAATTAAACCACCACAAATGAGATTGTTGGTTATATATATTATATATCCCATTTAATATACCTAACATTATTCCCATGATCCAGAAACATCCAACCGATGCAGTGAGATATCCACAAGTTATTGACGGTGACACGTCCAACCATCCAGTACCAATAAGTTAAGCTAGTTCCATTAAATCCCATTAAACCACCATGGAAAAACCATTGAACAAGGTGGTTGTTGTTGTTGTTGCTGGTGTTGTTGTTGTTGTAGTTGTATATATACCCTCTGCTTATTGAACGTAACTATGGGAAATAGGTAAACCATGATAAATCATCTATAAAGGGTATATATACATAGATAGATATCATGATATATCCCATGAATAGTCCCATGAATCTTCTATTCATAGTCCCATACGGTAATCCATTGATTATCCCACTACAAATGATCCAATCAATATCTCAATGGACTGGTTTAAGGGAAAAATTAGAGGAAACACCCATGATCTTCATGGGAAAATCTATGGTTCCCTGATGTTTAACCAAGTTATCCATTGAGATATCTGAAAAATCTCCATCCATCGATTTCAGGTCAGGAACTTCAACAAGAACTGGCGCTGCAGCGCGAGCGTCTCCAGGGCTTCAGCGTCCAGAGCCCGGCCTTGCGTGTGCGGATGCCCGGTTGTTTGCGGGTTTAGCACCAAAAGGCTGTGCTTGGTGGCTCATCCCACTTAGTAAGTGGGTTATAACCCCAGTTATAAATGGGATAAGTAGGGTTAATCCACTTATAACTGGGCTTATAACCCACTTACTAAGTGGGATGAGCCACCAAGTAGAAGCAACAGAACCTGAGGAGTTCGCAAGAACTTCTTGAATTGGTTGTTCTAAGGCATCGTTTCAGCAAAAAAGCATGGATCCAACTAGAAGAATATGGAGATGGAGATAAGGAAACATGAGGATTCAAGATTGGTGAAGCCGCCGAGGCTACTCCGTCAAAATCGCTTGTGGCTTCCCCAATGAATCTCCAAGGAAAACCTGTTTATCATGGTTGCAACATAGTGAAAAATCCCTATAATTTCAGGGTCAATCAATCCCCTATAAAATCTGTTCCATCTTTTCACGGATTTTTTCTGAGGTCTTCTATGCCACAATCTTTGAGAATGTCAGGGACATCGACGCTTCCAGGTGCCTTTTTGAAGATTTGGGTGCCACGGGGTTCACGAGAGATCATTTACACGATGTATTCACGATGTATTCACGATGTATTCACTTCTATATACTGAAATATCACTTATAATCATGATATATAACTTATCACTTATCACTCCCATCATATATCGTCTATGGTGTATGGTATTCACAAAAATATCACTTATGGATTATATTCCCCAAGTGGTCTGATCTGTAAGTTCATGACGAACCATGACGAACCCTCAGAGGTCGGAGGTCGAACAGTCGAAGAAGCGAATGACTTTTGGAACTGTAGCAACTCAAAAAAAATTCGTGTCGGTAAACCCAATTTTTTTTTTGACATATACATGGCCTATGTGCAGTTGTTTTGCTTCTGATGTTGGCCTTTAGCCATCAGTGTGGGGCCACTCATCAAGAGGTTTTTTTTCAGAAGAAAATATAAATGGATGGTATAAAAATGGGATTCATACAGTAAAATGGATGGTATACATGGACTCATATTATTTTTAGACCTACCATAAACCCAATAAAATGGTATGAATCCCCTAGGTCATGGTAGGTCTATGGCAGGCTTTTCCCACAAGTTTGACTCCCAAGCCCTGCAGGTCAAAGTGGGCCATCTTTGATCGCGCAATGGAGGACGGAATGCCGTGGCGTCGCCTGGGTGTTTTATGATGACCGGTAGCAGGTTACCAGGGTCAAATGATGACATTCATGACCTGGTACCTGGTTGGTGGTGACTGGAACCATGGAATTTTGACTTTCCAGAAACAGCTGGGAATGGAAAAATCATCCCAATTGACGAGTTGTCTTCATATTTTTCAGAGGGGTAAGTCAACCACCAACCAGTGACTAGGCCGGATGGGTTTTTTTCACCATGACCATCCCAACTCTGGAATGATTTCCATCCGAGTCTCAAGTTGAAGGTTCTTGCAGTCGCAGCCTGCTACAAGGATCGAACAAAACTTGTATGGAAAAAGCCTCCAAAACACCAACACATATGAGTAATATTGCCTGACTGTGGCTGTTAATTTTGGTCCTGATATCGTCATAAAAACATCAGAACTTGGGGCGATTTCTGTATGACTCAACTGCCCAATTTGGCCAAGGAGACAACCGAAAGTTTGCGCGAGCGCCTGAAGTATTACCGCCGAACTGCAATGAGTTGCTTGATCAGATGAAACCGGGGCCGGTTAGAACCTCCCATTTTTTGGGATATCATCTGGATATGAATGGGATATTCATTGGGATGTAATTCAGATGAGTTGGGTATATAACCAACCTATGATGTTTGGGTTTCTCCTAATCCACGGTGGATTTAAAAAAACATGGATTTACCGTACATTTAACGTCGAATACCATGGTTTTGGTTTGGCACCTAGCTCCCAGATAAACTACCCACGTACGCCAAACTAGCGCATCGAGATTCAGATGTGGGTCAGCAAGGAAAATACCATCCAAAACAGGTAGGAATGTATTCACAGTTTATCCGAGGACACTGTGGATATGTATATATATATATATAATCATATAGATATATAGAATTATAATGAATTATATAGATATGTAAACATAAATCATATAGATATGTATACATATACAAAATGATTTCCCCCATGGTTCAATCCAACCATATGGAATTAGCATTAGATCCACTCCCAAGCCAGACACCACGCCACCATGTCGTGGAGCGAACGAATCCGAGGAATCCAAGTATTACTGTATATAGTACTCGCAGAGAAACACACACATATATATATGTATATATATGTATATGTATATAAATAAATATCATCGATTTTTTTTTTACATATCATCTTTACTGTAATGTGTGCTGCTCAGTCTCCTGAATTCTTCAGACCTAAAATCCAGGTATCCATGATCCAGGTGATCCGTTTCCTACTCGTTGGTAATTCACAGAGATAGATAGCCCCGATTCTTGAGCACCATTTCGGGCAAATGATGATACATGAAAAACCGCCCCTGCAAATATATACATATATACATATTTACATATTTACATAGATACATATATACATATATACATATATATGTATATATATATGTATATATACACATACATATATATATATACACATATATATATACATATACATATTAGGCCCATGTATATGTTCCATTTTCATGTTCTTGGCTTTTGATTTTTATTTTCGACTCCTCCAAGGCTTAGCCACGCGCGTAAAGGGCATGTGCTTCACGAGTGCCCGCCTGGAGACCGTCTCCGCATGGATGCTGGGTTTTTTACCGGGACATGGTGATGGGTAAAAACCATCGGTGGTTACTATGAACATTTTAGTAAAATGTTAGTACAGCAATGTCATTTATCATATCATTTCGTATTTTACCATCTTATCATATATTATCATATCTTATCATATCTTGTCACATCTTATCATCACATCTTATCATTTATCATATCTTCATTTATACATATATGATATTCAAAATATGAAATATCATATTTTAGATTTTGAATATCAGATATGCATAATGACAAGATATGATAAATGATAAGATGTGATGGTAAGATGTGACAAGATATGATAAGATATGATAATATATTATAGGATGATAAAATACGAAATGATATGATAAATGACATTGCTGTACTAACATTAAATAAGATAAACGACTGGATGATATGATGAGATACGATAAGATACCATAAGATGATAAACGACTAGACACGGTAGTTTGCAGATTTTTTCAATTTTCAGCTGCCTTTTTGTGGCATGGCATTATGGATCATTGTGGCATTGTGGCCCAATCATCGTGATACCGGTGGTGCCAAGGAAACACTACTGCCCGGTGACCCTGTCCCTGCAGAATGAGTTGGTCTGTTGCTACGACCGCTCCATGGCCGTGGAATACAACAGCAAGGCCGCCATGTCGGCTACCGCTTGCAGTGGCAAAAAGCGCCAATGATGTTGGCAGATAGGGCTTTTACCTTGTCGGCATCAATGTGCATCGCTCATGTTGGACAGATGTTACATCTAGTGAATCTAGTACCAAATGTTTTGTTTCCTTGAATTTCCAGTGGATTATCATACTGTACTATTTGGTAGTACGCATGTCTAGCCAAACTCATTTACTTCCAGGTGTACTGGATGGCTTCAGAGCAGTATGCTGAGCTCTTCACAGAAGATCCAGAGGCCAAGCCCCAGATGATTTGTGTAGGACATCGCACCAGGTATCAGACCATATCAGATATCCCAGTTGAGTTTAGTTCAGAAAAAAACAATGCCCCCTTATCACTTCAGTTGTATTATTGCTGCCAGAGATGCTTTATGTATAAGGAACATGTGCAGGAAGCCCATGGTTCATTTTTAGCATCCAATTTGTGTCATTGTCTAAGGGCTATAGAGGGTGTCTTAAAACGATGGACCCCGGGACCCCCCAAAAAATGGAATTCTTTGTTACAATTGACTCATGACTTATCTCAATCTGCTGGTTGTTGGGGATCCCCTTGACAACATACACATACTACAATGTGGTTCCCACTTATGCTTGTTAGTTTATAAACCCCATTAACATCCACATCCATTAACTAGTTCGTTATATCTACCAATCTACCACAGTAAATTCAGCCACTTTTTTCAGGCAACTGAACGCTATCGACTGGGGGGGCCCACTTTGTACAATGAATGTGGGGGTTTCCCAAAATGGGGGATATCCAAAACCATAGGTTTCAATACTAAAATGGTCTAATGACTGGGATGATTTGGGGGTACCCCAATTTTAGGAAACCCCCATGTGGTTCCCAGTTCTGTTTGTTGGTTAGTTCACCCCCATGAACTCCCGTGTTCAGGCCTTCTTGCAAGTGCCTCTGCCACAGCTTCCGCGACTCTTGGACGATGGCGAACGGGTGCGGAAGGCAGGCGTTTCTTTGGGGAAAAAAGAGCCTCATTTTATAATGCCGTCATATCAACTATATAATGACAATTCTTATAGTTAAGATTTTATTATATGATGAATCTATATACTTAAGACTTAAGACTTTATTATATGTATAATACATATATAATTATATCACTATGTTTTATAGATATAATTGATACATTATTCAATACTTAGATTGAAATTCATGAACGAGGATGGTGCTTGAAGCCGCTGAAATGGGACTGAAACCAGGTAACCATGGAACTGATTTTTCTTCACAGATCACCTTTTAAACAAATGAGTGTTGGAGTTCCCAGATTTCTGGGGCCGCATTTCAATGTGGGGTGAGAAAGTGGCTGGTGCTGGAAATCATGGTGCTAGCGGAGCAGTCATGGTGCCAGTCAGCCGGTCTTGGTGCGGCATTTGTTACGACGCTCCACCATCGGCATCAGCCGGCTTCTTCCGGTGATACATAAGCCCTCCACTCTTTCAAGGCTACCAGTGAATCTCCAGATCTGAACGGTTTTACATGTGGAAAAAATACCCTCTCCCATTGCGTTAAAATATGTCTCTTTTTTCTTAATCCAAACGGCCTGGTGAACAGGATTTCCATACCTATATCCCAGTTCATGGTAGTATATGGAGGTTTCCTTTGATTTGGGGTTACCAAATCATCCAAAAAATATTAGACCATTTAAATAGTCCCTTCCCCCTAATATTAAACACCCCCTTGGAAACCATGGTCTAGTAGGGAATTTCCACATAATTGGGACCATTTATGGGGTGTTTAATATTAGGGTGATGGGATTATTATTAAACCTATTTCAAATATGATTACAGATATTCATATTGGGAGAATAGTATGATATAGTATATGATATAGTATACGAACATATTATCCCCCAAAATATTATAATCAAAATCATAATCACTAATTAGAAACCCAATTATCAATGGATTGGTTTAAGGGAAAATCTACAGGAAACCATAGATTTTCCCATTAAATATAGGGTTTTCCTGTAAATTTTCCCTTAAACCAATCCATTGAAATTATGTCATATTGAAACCTATGGTGACTTGGTGATCCCTCATTGTCTTCCGCGGCAGGCGGAGGCGAGGGCCGAGCTCTCAAACTTCTGCCCGGTGACGCTGGTGGAAACCGGGAACTTGGTGAAGGTACCGCTGGTGAAACAATGGGAGGAAGGACTTCGGATAAAGAAGTACATTTGGAATTACCCTCTGGTAAACTAACATAGCTATGGAAAATCACAATGTTTAATGGGTAAATCCACTATAAATGGCCATTTTCAATAGCTATGTTAAATTACCAGAGGGTATCTGGGTAAATTCTAAGCCAATTCTATCCCAACAAAAAAAATCTGGGTAAATTTCATCACGACCGAAGCCTGTTCTCCCTCACTAGAATCATGGTTAGTAAGGGAAATCATCCCCAAATGGCCTTAATTCAGGTTAGTGAAATACTATAATTTACCCAGATAATGTGGTATAATGATGAAAAAATGGGATAATAAGTTTGGAAAAATAAGAACTTCGGAGCAAATGGGATACCAAGCCGCAAATAAGGATTTGTTGATGAGGTTTCTGATTGAATTTTGGTGCTCCCGACTGCAAATGTGGATGAAAGACCGGGATGAATGACTCCAAGCGGTTCTTCAGTTGTGGGGCACCCATTTCAAGAGCTCTTGATCACTTCTCGATCACTTCTCAATCACTCTCTTTGGGGTTGGTTCCGAAACATTATTGCGCATGGCTTTAGCATCTCAAGCCCCAGTCTCGTGCTTCAAAACTACCAGGCTTTCAACCCCCTGGGTAAACTTTGGTTGAGTAGATTTCACTATATAATAATATATATATATGTGTGTCTTGAGAAAAACGTGTACATGATATGTTCTTATCTATATTAGCATATATATATACACAATATCAACACATCCATCTAATCAACAAGTTTCAATGTATAATCACCCAGAAAATCACCATTTCATGTCCAATCGGATCGGATGTCTTTTCGTTGGGTTTAGATCTGATAGGCATCAGCCTACCACTTGGTGGAGTACAACCAGAACCTCTTCCGCTTCGCCAATCGAGAGGAGCTGCAGATTTCACCAGCAGTTTTTGTCATGACGTTTTTTGTCTTCTTAAAACAGGAATCTTAGAATGGATATAGTTATAGTACATGCATAAAGTATATAGATGTATATATATATAGCTCTTTTGAATAGTATAAATCGGGCATTCACTGTTTTAGTAGCCTTTTCTGATGTTTTTAGATGTATATATTCAGAACTGCAAAACTGGGGTATGACGGTGCAACCAACAAAATCTGAGCAGCTCAAGATGGTCGATTGTTCTTTTAGGGTGTTGTACAAAGTGGTTCCATGTGGATTATGGATGTATCCAATATGGGAATTGCGCCCTCGACCAACGAGCAGAGCCGCTTTGAATGGGGGGATGAACATCCATTTGCCAGCTGTGAGCCATTAAACATACCCTCATTGATTGGTTATTGTAAGAAGAGTTATAATACCTTGTGATTGGTGATTATCATATCCCATATTAGGGAAACCGGTCAACCAACCAACATGTATATATATATATACACAATATATAATAAAATGGGATTGATGGGATCGGGGTATTTTTGATGGTTCAGCTATTCCAATACCCAAATGGAAAATGGCAATCGCCACAAGATCAATCACCATAGACCAGAGAGATTTAGCCTATCAATGCTGAGACAAGCATGTGAAACTTGCGAAAAAAGTGCGGATGGAAATGACACAAAAGTGAGAGTGGAAGCCACCCCTTTTATGGGAATTTGACCCACTAAATATCCTGGAGATACCATGACACCATGAGCAGAAAATAGCTTCCCCCCAGGGTGCTTTAGATCATTTTACCCTCTGGTTATGACTAACATAGCCATGGTTCTTCGATGGCCCTAATCGAAATAGATGGGCCATGCCGTTCTTAATAGCATGGTGGATCTTTCCATGGCAATGTAACCAATAACCAGATGGTACGTTTGTTGATTTAAAACTCATGGTATAGTCAACTCATGGTATTTATCCTTTCTTTGATCTCGAAAATCTGGAGTCAACGCTAAATCCATCGATTCTGGACCAGAGAATCCCAGCCATTGAAGAACACACAACGATTCGTTTGATCCTTAACTTTCCTGAAAAATCCCCTAGTGTGGTGTTAAATTACTTCCCCACCGTGACCTTATTTGTCATAGTTCTGACATAATATATTTTCTGCCATTCTATGCTGGCATTCTATCTGACATCTATTCTGACATCCTATCTGGCATCCTTTCTGGCATCTATTCTGACATTTTCTTTGGCATTCTATCTGGCATTCTTTCGGATATTCTATGATGCATCTATTCTGACATTCTTTCTGGCATCTATTCTGGCATTCTATCTGGCATTCTCCCTGGCATTCTATATCTGACATTCTCTTCTGGCATTCACTCTGGCATTCTTTCTGGCACCTATTTTGGTATTCATTCTGGCAATCTTTCTGGCATTTGAGGTCCGGCAGTGCCCATTGAGATCTGGAGCTCGCGCTTGAGGTCCGGCAGTGTCCACTGAGATGTAGAGCTCGCAGGACGAGGAGGAGAAGGAGAAGGAAATAACTCTGATAAAATCTAGAGACCGTCACCTGGCAGGTGGGGAAAAACATGTCATGGTTGAATCTTGAATTTTACAGTGAACATCCTCATGATTCGCGGCTGGCTGTGGAGGGCTATTTTTTTTGTTTTTGTTTTCCAGAATGGCCTTGTAGCTTTTGTGGCTTCTGTGGCTTTTGAGGGTATGTGGCTTTTGTGGCTTTACCATGCTTTACCTATCTATCTATCTATCTATCTACCTAATCTAACCTAATCTAATCTAACCTAATCTAACCTAATCTAACCTAATCTAATCTAACCTAATCTAACCTAATCTAACCTAATCTAACCTAATCTTATCTAACCTAATCTAACCTAATCTAACCTAATCTAATCTAACCTAATCTAATCTTATCTAATCTTATCTAATCTCATCTATCTACCAAATCATCTAATCTATCTAAATTATTTGTCTAATCTATCTAAATTATTTATCTAATCTAATCTATCTATCTATCTATTCTAATCTAATCTAATCTGATCTAATCTAATCTAATCTACTGTAATCTAATCTATCTGATCTAATCTAATCTAACCTAATCTAATCTAATCTTATCTGTCCATCTAATCTATCCAATATATCTAATCTATCTAGATTATTTATCTACTCTATCTAATCCATCCATCTATCTATCTATCTATCTATCTGTCTGTCTGTCTGTCTATCTGTCTATCTCTAAGCCAACCTAAATAAACCCTAAACCATCCCTAAATAGCTCTGGATAAACCCTAAACTAACACCAAATAAACCCTAAACCAACCCTAAACCAAGCCTAAATGACCCTAAACCAACCCTAAATAAACCCTAAACCAACACTATGATAGCATCCAATGCCACTATTGAGACCCAACACGGTTGTGCCCCAACCTACATTCTACACGCTCACCAGGTGCATGTTCTGCATGGAAAAATCAATTGAACTCATGGCAAACTCAATGAATACTATAGAAAAATCGATGAACACTTTGGGTAAATCAATGAACACCATGGAAAAATCGATGAACAGTGCAAATGGCAATTTTTAGCTCCAAAATTCAGCAAAGTACAGGTTTTTGCTCCAAAATGTAGCAAATAGCAAGGAAAAGTGCCCCAGACTGAAAAGCAAAAAAAAACAATAAAAACAAAAAGAATCTGCACCCGCTGTTTATGGCTTGAATTCAGATTCAATAGATTTCTACAGATTAATTTATTTGATGAATTTACACTTAGATACGACAGGAGTTATTGACATCCTCAAACTGACGGTTTCAAGTCCTATTTGATGTCCATCTGAACGGCTCCAGTCACGCCGCGGCAAGGCAGCGCTAAAGTTCATGCGGCAGCCCTTGCGCTATCGCAACGCGAAGCTGCCCAAGAAGCTGCCAGCGGAGGTATCAGACCTCCATGTGCTGCGTGGGAGAGTTGCTTTTTTTTTTGCTTTTAAAACCGGGATATATTGGGGATATAATCAACCATAGCTAACAATGGGATATAACTGGAATTAAAGTTGAGGTCCTGGCGCTGTCCATGTTTCTTATGGCATCTTCTACCCGCTATTTTTAGGTTCAGATCAGGCTAGGTGAACCTGATTGGTGCAGCCATGATCGGCGCACCTGCAGAGTGGCTAGATCCAGTCCAGTTCAGCGGATCAATGATGTACTGAAGACTTTCAACAGCAGCAATCCCCCGAATGTCGCCCAAAAATCCATGGCGGATGGGGTTCTGCAGGCATTTTGCCCCCATTTTTTAGTGTGGTCATTTGCAAGGTAGAGTGTCCGGTGGCAGCGCTATTGTGCACCGGATATGATGGCCAACTGTCTGCACCAAAGTAGTGGCGGAAAGTTGGGTGCAATGGCGACCTCTGTGCCCATTTAGTTTCTCAATCTCCATGTAATCCTTGCTGGCAGCCGCTGGCACCAAGGCAGTCATATGACAATATTCCTCCAGGGATGGAATGGTTGCCCGTGGAGTTCAAGCATGCTGGCCAAGATTTAGACAACCGCTACAAATCATCAGGGACAAGTGGGCCCTCAATGGAAGGCTGGATGGTCTGGTCATCTTAAGAATGAGAAGACGAAACGGAAGTTCCACGTGGTTTGCATGCAGTTCCAGCTCGTCTTTGTGGATTCAAACGTGAGGTGAACCAGATCGAACTAGCAGAGAAGCTTGAAAGAGCTACCTTTGTCAGCGTCACTTCCTTGGCACGGTTCGCGGTGGCAGTCTGTCATCAAACGATCGCTGGCCACTACTTCAACAAACTCGCGTCGACGCGAGGCCATGCTGATAGGAGTGGGTCATCCGTGTCGCCCAGGTGAAAAGAAAACTCAACGTCCCACTCTGGTCAGCTCCTTGACACAGGTCATGCAACAGCCGCGGGACCATGGCCTTGCAGCCGGTGTCCATTGCCACCTGAGTGAGAAGTGGCCCAGATCGTACATGTTGAACTTTGTGGATCCGAGGGACGCAAAAATTGAAGTGGACAATGACAAAGCGTGTGAAACTTTGGCAATTGGCACGCAAGGATTCTGGCAAGAGAGGCCCGCTTGGACCTGGCATGACAGGCCTTGGTCCTGGTTCTGTCAAAGCGAAGCCCAGGGTCATGTCAGAAACCCACGGTGATGGTTCTCCATCACAATGGCATCTCAGATTCCTAAGGAGAAGCAAAGACGTGCCTTTAAAAGCGCCACCAAGAAAACATTGGGATGCCGACTGAAAAAGTTACCACAGGAAAACCTAGGTGTGCTGCAAGTTTCTTCCTATATCATGAGGCAGCATGGAAAACAAGGCAGCATGCAGCAAGCAAGAGAGGTCCGAGACTGAATTCATGCGGTGTCACCTGCACAGGCACCAGGCATTCCCAGCCATGAGCAAAATACAAGTAGAGCCAACATAGACATAAGGCTTTGTTATCCAACATGGGGACGGGATAATTGTTTATCTACCATGGATATTTTTCACTACCTGGGTCCATTGTAGCGGCCGAAACTTGGCCAGCCATACCCGGCCAAACCCAGTAAGATGACTGATTTCCAGTCTCAAAATGGGGGTTGTTAAAATATGTTAAATGGCAGATCCGCAAAACCATGGGTTTCAAATGGTTTCAACGCAACAATGGTTTCTAATTTAATGTTGGATGATTTGGGGGTACCACCATTTTAGGAAACCTCCAGATCATATGGAATCATCATTTGCCCAGAGAACTGTGTGGAGCGCACCGCAGTGGACATGGCCCGGATGCCACGAGAACACACCAACCCCTGCGAACTTAACCCCGAATCAAGGCTGTGACAGTGGGGCCAGTTGTGTTTGGCTATCGGCTGACACGGTGCCCCAGAAGGGTTGTTATTTTTTGCTGTCGTATACTTCGGTATTGTGCAAGGTATGATTCGGTCATGGTACGCTGGGGTGGCGTGCACGCAAAATGATGCTACGTTAGAGATGGGTTGGGATGGGGTGGGGTGGGCTAATAGCGTTCCTTGGCACTTGCACACCTACATGATGCTACGTTGGACATGGGTTGGGGTGGAGTGAGGCTAAAAACGTCCTTTGGCATGCTACCGTAAAAAATGAATATGTTGCTACGCTTGCACATGTGGTTAACGTGCGCGAACATAAATTTGATGTTACGTTCATAGGATATGTTGCTACGCTTGCACATGCTGTTGACGTGTGCGAACACAAGTTCGATGTTACGTTCATAGAATATGTTGCTACGCTTGCACATGTTGTTAACGTGCGCGAACCACGAACATCAGTGTGATGTTACGTTGGTAGAATATGTTGCTACGCTTGCACATACCAAATCGCTTTACAAAATGGAAACCAATCGTTTTTGCCCAAAAAGACAAATCCCATGGAGGAACCAGCGAAAATCGTTGGAAGCGGGCGCGGAGCTTCCAGTGGGGGCATAATACTTCCATCACAAGTTCCATCTTGGAAGAACTTCCCAAATGCTTGTGGCAGAGTTGAGAAAAGATGCTTCTAAGCCGTTTGGGCATGGGATTATTTAGATCAACAGGCATTTCCATTTTTTCCCCGACGTGGTAAAAAAAAGATAAAAAAAGATTGTCTCGCCTGCACAAGATACAAGTTTCTTCATTTCGAAGTGGCCCACGCAGTACAAAATGATATTCTCTAAATGCCTTCCAAAAATAAACATGTAGAAAGCACTGGGTTTTCAGCACTTCATCTTGAAAATGCAGAAAAAATCATGTCGACAGTTGCAGGGCGGCGAGTCAGCCAATTCCCTGGTTTTTCAAGAAGCAAATCGGTTGTGAGGCGCCACATTTCTAGAAAACCATCAATAATATTGATATTTCACCGCACAAATTGTAGGTCACCCATTTTTGTTGTTGGGTTAATTGGGGAGGGATTCAAACCAAGTCAAGTAATCATGGTAATTTACGGGTCAATTTAGCACGGGGCCCTTGGTTTTACATCAAAATTGAGGTGACACCATGGAGAATTCGTTGTTTTCCAATTTTTCAGCTGGTCACAGAAATCCCAGGGTACCCCCCTCTTTGTGGCACCCCCCAAAATGCAGGTTTAAGGCCTGCCCCAACACCCGGAGTTGATCTTGTTTTTAAATGGTCAAAATCAAAACATATTGTCGCTCTTACGCACTGGTAATTCAGCATATCATAGCCATGGAAATTATCTATTTGTATAGAGATGATTTGCATATCATATTATTCCATTGTTATTTTCTATGGTTATTTTAATTACCAGAGGCTATGGTTGCTTGAGTGGCTGCCAGGTGTCGAAAGAAGAAAGAGAAGCAGACCGGGCAGCCCAGTTTTAGAGGGGATGATGCATAACCTTTATGATGATCCATGGATGAACACTATAAAATGTGTATCGACCAAACGGCTGTATTGAGTTGTTAGAAACATCTATATGGGACTATATGGGGGTTTCCTAAAATGGATCACTCCAAATCATCCATTTCAATAGGATTTTCCATTATAAAATTTTCCATTATAAACCATCCATATTGGTAATAACAAATTTTAGGACACCCCCCATATACACAAAATGTTAAGATGTCATCAACCTATATATAAATGATTTTGTTTGAGAAACCTCTCAACATTGACGTAGTATATTGAAATATAATATCATTATATATATATATATATCATGAGTTTGGGAAACGGCAGGTTTGCAGAATGTAGGGGACATTGGCCTGCAATAGAGCATGTTAAACGAGATTGTCCAATCCATAGCGTTTTCTAGGACTGGTCCAGACTTTCATATTGATGAATCACATCCTACTTGCGGGCGACGCACGAAAATCTGATCATGTTGGGATGCCGGACACAATCAAGGCATCGTCCTACATCGATGTACATTGTAATTACTTTCGGTTTTTTTTGGACTGCATAAATCAAGGCCTGTCTGAGAATGAGGTTATACCATGTTATACCCCGCAAATGATAATCATGGAATTGGGGAAATGTTCGGAAATGGTGATTTGCCAGGGGTTATTCTATTCGTGACCTCTTGAAAGACCTTTGAACATTAAGATAGCCTTGCTGTGGTAAAGTGAAGGCTTCCCTTTTCATGGCCGGGAGTAGGCTCAATGTTCTGGATATTCCCAGCCAGACAGCATTTCACTGTCTCAGTTCCTCGATAATTTGTCCTTTTCAATCCTTCCTTCCTGAGCCCCTCATACAAAGCTCATAGGTTTAGAATGGTTTAGAATCTAAGGCTTGAACCTACCAACCAGGTCTGAATATGATACTGATATGATCCTATATGTATCATATACCACATATGTGTATCTATATATTTATATACATATGTACATATACATATGTATATATATTATATGCCTGTGCACACATATTTGTACATATATATATATATGTATATGTATATGTATATATATATATATGTGTACATATTGTATATATATATATATTTATATGTACATATATATATATATATACACATGTGCATTATACTATATATATAAGCGCGATATGTCATACATATGACGTGCCGTGTATATATATATATACACTGGTATATATGTTTTTCTCATATACATTCACCACAGCTCTCTGCCTTCGCTCGACTCAGTCTCATCTCCTCAGCTGCTTGGTGAAGGGAAAGGACGCGCTGGCCACGCAGCTGGTGCTTACCATCCCCCAACTAACAGGTTGACCCCGCCAAAACAGGGGTTGCAGCCGGTGAAAGAAACTCACCTCGACTAGGGGAAATCTACCAGGTATGTGGTTATAACATGTTACAACCACTACCAGATGTAGATGGGTTTGAAACTATTCAGAATGTGGGTTGTAACCCCATCATTCTGGTGGTTTTAAACCTCAGCAACTCCGATCGTCGAAGCTGGCAGGGATTCTTTGGCCGAAAATCATGGGATACCCTTTGGCAATCAAACAATGGCTGGCTGGAAATTGTTCCATTTCGAAGGGAGTTTCCAGCCAAGTTAAGTTTGATGACACCGGAGGGTACCTGGGCTTTACAAAAAAACAACAGGTGTTTTTTCATGGTTTCTGATGAGTTTGGCACCTTTTCAGATCTGGGTTCAGATCTGGGTTCGGCAGCTGCAGCATCCTGGTTCAGCAGGGTTTCCTTTGAAACCATACCTGCATCAACTTCGTTCGTTGGGATCTCAGAGATTGATTAGATCGGCCAATCCTGTCTGACCCAGACTGCATGTCGAAAAACTTGGACATGCTCTCTGATACGCATCAACATGGCGATAGAAATTCGGGACTCAGACAAGTCAAGTTCATCACAAAATGCATAACCATGTTTTCGTACCGATTTGGTGAAATCAATAGTTGCACCAATCACATCAACCATGCCAAAAGAGCCCTCGGAAGTAGCAATTTGTCACAAGCTGGATTTGTTCAGATGGAGGGCTTTAGATCATCATACTGGATGATTCCTCCATGATTCCAAAGATGCACATCCAAGAATAGGAATGCACCAAGCAGGCTGGTTTCGCCTGAAACTGGTCTATTTAGGTCTAGGTGTCGCAATTCTGGAACATGCCTCTACAAGAGCATTGTGGGCAGCCCCTTTCCCTATTGGTTGAATTCACATTTGGAGTGGTACTCAACTCCTGCATACAGGACATACACGCGATTTGAGTCGCATCACAAGCTCCGATGCACCATCCTACTGAATTATTTGGTTGTGTTTTGCAAAAAGATGGTGGCTAAGTGCTGACCCAATTGGGACTTATTCTTCCTAGAATTGTATCAAGGCAAATGTACAGAAAACCATCTGATTCATGGCAAAAAGATTAGAGAGCGGACTACCGTGGGGGGTGGAGTGGTGAAAGTATTGATTTTGCAGTTTTTTTGAGATATGGAAATGGTTTGCACATGAAGCCACAAATCACGACTGTCCAGAATACTACATTTTCTACAGAGATGTTGTCTCTTTCCAAGAATGCTTTATGTTTTGTTTAGCACTTTGGAAAAGAACACATGTCTATATACAATGATTTTGATGCCTCTGCAATGAATTCTGCATTGTATTGTTGTACATATTGCCATATGTATGTATATATACTGTATATATACACACTATTTGACACATTTATTGTTTTTTCACAATAGTTTATGTTTCTCGATAAATATGTATTTGATATTGAACACACATGAGTGCAATTTCCAGCTGCAAATTCTGCATTTTCTGAAAAGTGTTCTGCATTCTTTCATGTTGTTCATGAGTGCTTTTCAAAAAATAACATGTCCAGATTGAACATGCACTTCTTCAAAAGATGGTTTAACTACGATTGAATCTAGACCTTTTCCAGGCATCATCTATATTGTGCCTTAAAAGCGTTGCCTTGTTGAAAAAGTAACACACTTGCAGGGAATCAATATACTTTGTGCATGAAAGCGCAACTGGAACTTGAGAAATGTACTTCCCGAAAAGACTGCTGTATCTTGAACAAGTTTTTTTTTGAGAAGATCATGCATCTTGAAGACAACCCTGCTTCCTGCAGTGAATTGTGTACTGTACCTTTGTGAACATGTAAAAATACAAGCACATGTTTGAAAGATTTATTGCATGCTCTGCACAATTGCTGCCCCTTTCAAAGGAGATCATGGGCTGTAGGCTGTATTGAACAAAAATTGGCTGTATCCTCTAGCTATAGGCTGTACACTTCCTGCTAGGGGTATTGCATCCTTGAATGGCATATTGCTCATTTTTGTAGGAGTGATGTCTGACTAGTGGGAGGATGAAGGATTCGCGTTGAAAATATTGTATATTTCAACCATACATGTTATTTGAAAGACTAGTACATCTTGGACTAGTGTTTTCAAGATATAATGCATGACTACAAGAATGTTGCTTCTTTCAACCTATTACATTGTACAATAACAAGTTGAACCTTCAAAATCTAAAATGAACATGTCTGTTCAAAGGAATACCAACATTTCTTCAAGAAATGCTGTATCTGTGGCATGCAAGAGTTGCCAAGAAGAATAATGTTGCATTCTACAAAATAGTATTTGCTTCTTCCAAAGGAAAACAACATTCTTCTTTAGAGGAATCTTGTCTTGTCGTGAGGGATACAATATTGCCCTTTTGAAGGAGCAACCACTTTGAGACAAACATATTTTTTGTACAACAAAGTGTTGCTTAAACAATCCGTTTTTGAAAAATATATGTTTTATATTAGGTATAACTTTTAGTGATTCCAGGTTTGAAGAACACGAGCCAAACCTTTAAATATGAGGAACCAAAACCTCGGCATACCAGTAAAACATCAATCCAATGGAGTGCCTGAAGAGGTGGGTGATAAAGCTGTTTTTACTGTACATTGTCTCTCATGGCTCAGTAGCCAAAATCAGTAACTCAATAAAGACATCAATATAAACTGTGGAGGGGTGAAAGCTGTGCCAATGGATGTTTGTCAGGGTGAAAGTTTCTCGGAGCCCAAGAAACAGGAAAACAAAAAAACACAAAAAACATGAGCAACTGATATTGTTGGACTGACACAGTTGCAAAAACCTCGAGAAAAAAAAACAAAAAGTTTCGACCCATGGAGAGGGTCTGAGGAGAAGCTGGACAGGCGACATTGGGCGAAACGTTTTTTTTTTGGTTTTTGCATGGGTTTTGGGGCATTTTTGGGCCAAGGTGGCAAAAACCTCGAGAAAACCAAAAAAACAAAAAGTTTTGACCCATGAGAGGGTCTGAGGAGAAGCTGGACAGGTGACATGGGGTGTTTTTTTTTGTTTTTCCATGGTCTTGGACCAGTTTTTGCCTCTTTCAGAATTTGGATTGCTTGTATGAGAGTTTGCGATAGATCCAAGCTTCAGGAATGGAAGCAGATCAGCAGACAGCATGATTTTAAGCAGACAGTGCAAAACATGCGCGTTTCTACAATGTGCACGCCTTCACCCCCCATGATCCTCCCTTCTGAAAGATTAAGCGCATAGTTTCCTGTGGTTTTTTCCCCTCCAAATGAAAGACCATCAGCTACCTACTTCATAAACTGTCCAGACACGTTTTTTTTTTCCAGCGGTTTTCATACGAGGTCCAATCATGGGGTGCGCGGAAAGCAGCTGCAGAGACGGTCTCATGGCGCTGTGTTTGGTCTTTTTAGCTTCGAAGTCACAGATTTTCCATTTCCACAGCTCCATTATCCTCATTTATCCTCTATATCGAAAATGCTTCACTTGATGTTGATTCGGGGGCATCGATTGTTGGTGGTCACAGTGGCTGACCCTTTTTTCTGGGAGGGTTCGACTCAGTTTGACCTGTGCCTGGAGTTTGATGTCCGATTTCTTTGGAGTAGCCCAGGGTAGATGTGTTTCCCAAGGCAAATAATCTACATTTTTTCCACATCTATGTTACTTTACCCTAGGGCAATTTTTTGTAAAGCTGTAAAGCATAATGTCTTTGCACATTTCACAGCGCTATGGAATATGGTCCGTTTACGAATATGATTTCGATCTATACCGGGTATAGGTTTGAAGGTGATTTTCCATGGCATGGCCGCATTGCGTGGGATTTCACATCCCATGTGTGGCACTATGTTGTCCATGAAGCAATGTGTCGCTTGCGCAGGACTTTTGGATAATGATATATAATGATGACCCATATGCTCCATGGTGCTGAGATATTTACCTACCAAACTGGGTGATTTATGGTGGGCAGTCATGTTGGGATTCATAATTTTCAGCACCATGGTTCGCATATTAGGGGTATGCAATCATGATCATCCCCGAACGATCAGAGAAGTTGGGTTTTTTTGAGCCAAATGATAGGATCGATGATGAGTATATACTGTATATATATATATGGAAGAGCAAAAATAGCAACCCCAAGTCATAGAGGCTGAACACTGGGCAATATGATGAAATATGATGAACTATGTATTTGTCATATCATCATATCATATCATCTATAACTAACCTCCTGGAAACAGAAGAATTTCGGCTGGGGTAAGGTGCCCACGAGGTGTTTGACCCTGAGATGTGTGGAGTCCAAAGGGCTGCGCTGGAGAAATGAGGGAAATTTCACAAAAAAAAATGTATTGATTAAATAGTCCATTATATCCATAATGTTTTCCACTATAATGGCATTCACCACTATAATGTTGATTCACCACTACAATGGCATTTTGGGATATTAATAGTCCATTATAAATTATACAAACATATTGATAAATTCATAGAGTATAAATTAGGCCGCACTCACCCAGTTTTTTTTGGATTCAAGCAGTAAGAATGGAGGTCGATAGATGATTCAGAATGGGTAGGCTGGGTCATAAATAGGCCAATTGGCATTTATGGTGGATATATCGTACTAGGTAGATGTGGTGACATAAACTACCTTAAACTACGTGAACCAAGAAAAATAAGTGGAGAGACCTTCCCGTACTGAAATATCATGTCCTTTTTTTTTTGAGACATTCCATTCATGGCCATATATAAGGAACCGATTTATTGGAGGTACCAATCCCATATATTTATGGCCTATTTTTTCGGCCTATTTTTCCAGGGATTTCCAGGGAGACCGAGATTGCTGGCAAATTTTCTTGTCGTTATTATCATTTTGCTTAAGAAAATCACAATATTATAAAGTCTTCAGAACAACATCATGTATATATAACATTATAT